TGGCGGCGGTGGTAAGAACACTTTTTCTTCTAAACCACCTCTTTTATTATTATAGTAAACTTTTTATTGTTACAGTAAATTTTTTGTTATTGTAATAGCAATTTTATTACTATTTTATATTTTAGTCATACTACCCTTCTTTTTTTATGACCACTATTTCTAGACATTTTGACTTGATTATTCTCCTATTGTTTTAAAACTAGATTCGCGAAACTAAGATTTTAAATTATATTTAACATCTAAGATTTTAAATTATAGAAATTCTTGAAGTGCATTATCTTTCAAGGTTACTTTGAGAGAATAATTTAAAAATTCTTAAGAGGGACAGCTTATAATTATCACAAGTGAAATAATAATAAATCAGATTTGGAACGTTCGTACGAGATAAATTTCCTTTCGTTAATTATTGATTGAGCGCCAGTAAAAATATGCTGAGGGTTATAGACTCAAGTGCAACTTTAAAAAAATGTGAGAACAGAAACCTTCCATCAATTTTATTAAATTTTATGAAAACTCTTAATGAAAGTTTTAGTGTGCAATTTCCTTTAAATTAGACCGCGATTAAATTTGTCCTTTGAGGAGCGAAAATAAATTTCCTCAAAGATTCAAATAACAAATAAAAATGAATATTCTCTAAATTAATGATTCTATTAAGAAGCGTTAAGAACTATTAACCAAATTATACCCTTTCTTTAAAAATTTCATTTATTTCGTTCGAATCATTGCTTTTAAGCTGTGCGGAAATGAAATTTTCATTGTCTGAGAATGCCTTTGGAAATTTAGCGAAAATGTATTGTTAACGAACTTAACCATTAATTAAACGATGTATTTACCTCCACAGTATTTTCTACGTAAAAGCACCGCTCCGTGGAAGATAAATTCACCGGTGAATTATAAGAGCTCCATACAATACGCATTCATTGTTGAATTTACTGCAAATCGAGGGCGCGAAAGGTTCGACGAAAATATTTTGTTTCGAAGACACGGCTTATTCAGCGAATCGCATTAATATTAATGGCCGATAATGTATGTTAATAACTTTTTGACCTGGATATCGCACGGTACGTTAAAATTTCGTAAAATCAGTTGGCCCAGATCGTTAAACGCGATATATCTTAGTCAGAATAAATGAACGTCGAACGATTAAAATTTATAAACCGCGAAATTGCGCTTTGCAGATTTACTTTTGCATTAGACTTCAATTTTATTTTCAACATTCACAAGTTTTTTAATCTTCAAATTTCTATATTTTTCAGTTTCGATATTTTCAAATTTTCGTATTTGTAATTTTCTGTATTTCGAAATTTTTGCATTTTCATATTTGTGGGGTTCTAAATTTTATATTCTCAAATTTTTACGTCTTCGAAATTTTATATTCTCTAATGTTTATGACTCTAAACTTTTATATTCTTGCATTTTAATATCTTCAATTTTTTATACAATATGTGTATAAAACGTATAAGAAAGTGGAACCCTTTCGGACCTACCCGATCGCATCCGACTCCGCCCGAGTTTTTCCGCCCCCCGAAAGCCGATCTCGAGTACCTATTTTATTCCTGTTTACAAAGTGCGAAGAACGCAATTGATTGCGCGTAAGAACCTTCGGTAAACACTCGATCTACGATCCCGCGTTTCACGAGGGTCCGATCGCTATTAATTAACGAAAGAATGAATCGAAATAACTTTCGAGTGGGAATAATTGGGACGAAACAACGCAACAAACAATGCTGTTACCCGGTGCTTTTGATTAAAGCGGGTCGCGTCGCGTTGCGAAACAATTAAAATACAACGATCCACGGATTTTCCGGAACAAAAGGATACGTAAACAAAAGTCCCTAAGGGCATCGTCCGACAAAGGGACAGGCCGCCCCACTTCACGATTAACGCACGAAAAATCCTTTTTTGCAGGCTGGTGGTAAAAGGTACCGAACGATTCCTCGGATAATTAGAAGGGAATTTGCTCACCGATCACCAGTGCACATCTTGGCTGTAATTACCGATTGTCGGTTCACGAAGAGACCCTGACCCTCCGGCACCTTCTTCGACGATCATCCCCGAAGGACAAAACGCTGTCTCGGTCAACGCGTATTTTCATCGAACCAACCGAAAGAAGAGACGAAAGAACTATGTGAAATTCGTGACGACACTCTCTCGAGATTCTTCTTCTTCTTTCGCTAAATTTCCACCCGAAGCTTTGGACGGGTCTCGGGTTAACTCTTCGACGAAAGTATTTAGCGAATAATACCGTAGATTGTAATGTTTCTTTTTCTTCTCACACCGTGTATACGACAAATTCGATTTCACGTACCGGAGCGAACAAAATGACAAAAAAAATGTATTGTAAAAAAGAACAATCGCGTAGGATATTTTTGTACTACTTCTCGTACGAAGCATTTTCGAACGACGAGCAACAATTAAAACTCATTCACACACGAAACGTGGCGGTGCGTTTTTGGTTCCCATCCGTTTCACCCCGTTCCCCGTTAGTGGCGAAGGTAAACAACGTCCGAAAGCATCGACGATAACATTTGCACGTTCGATTTATGGATCCTATGGTCATCTTGCGCACGGCGGAAAATTAAAATCGGGTAAACGGTTGCAAAGCGGGCGTGGCCGGGACGCGATATTGCAGAACGAATGGATTTACTATCGCAGCCATGCCGCTCTGGCAATAACATTCCCCGCTTACGATATTGCGACGACGTAAATATCGTTGACGCTAAAAATGATCGACTCGAAAAAGTTTCGGAACGTGCTACCACCGTGGCGATCCTTGTCCGCCATTTTTGTCGACTCGCGACTTCCATTTCGCTTCTACATAAAAATTCACTTCTATTCAAAATATTCTACTTTTGTTAATCCTTGCAGGTTTCATCTTTTTCACAATTAAACAATTATATATTACACTATATTTGTACAATCTTTATTTGACATATTACTGAAACCTTACTAAATTTAGAATCGAAGAGTTTATAACACAATAGCGTCACTACCTGACACTATAAGAGAATTGTCTCAGTAATAAGTTTTGGAATATATTTTTACACTTGACATAAAATGTCATGCACATTATAATATGTACAAGGTAACATGTGCTTAATGGTAGTGAAGATGGTAGAGTACTTCATGAATTACTCTGTCACAAGTTCAAATACATAATAAATAATTTTTATTCTTTTCTCATTCTGTTTGAGCGAAAATCTTTCTACACTCCGTTAAAATTAGTGCTGAATTTAGCTTCTACGTCTGCTGCATTTTGACAGTGACTGCATTGCAGCTTCAGCGTACGTTTTTATTAATATTTACGAGATATTTTGATTAATATTTACGAGTCGAAAATCGCTGTTCATGCGACGTAGGTATGTTTTTTTGTTTCCATTACGAATTTGCGCCAGTGTTTGCAGGAACGAAATCATCCGGCAATATATCTAAATCAATTTTCCGACGAGAAAAACACGGGTATTTGCCATGTTGCGTAACATATAACAATATCGCACTTGTTATATATTGTATAACGTATAAAATAAATAAATTGATTACAGATTATTAAAATAATAGTATTATGTGTATAAATTATACGCGTTCTAAACTGAATTCCAGCTGCTGAATAGTGCAAAACTTCCTAACTAAAACTTCCTTTCTAGCGAAGTATTTAAAATTAGAATAGCTTCGAAGTTCAAGCAAGCTTTTGAGCCCGAAAGTTCGAAAGTAGGATACTGTCCGGAGATTA